TCTTCGCACACTTTTTGTGCCAGCTCCAGGTCGACGACCTTCACGAAGGCACACCCGAGACTTCTGCTACACTGTATTCTCAGCACTTCACCGGGCTTTAAGCCCAACATGGTTCCAACAAAGCTTTGCACTTTTGCATAGTCCGGTTTTTTCGGTAACATCGCATAATCTATGCGGAATGTGTTCGCGCGACGCGCCATCGTGGAGTCGTAGTACGCGGGAAAACGCTACGGCTCGGCGATGGAAAAACGCAGCGCGACAAACGATATATAGCTTGAGATCGACTTCCAGAAATAGCGATAGCGTAAGTACGTCTGCTTGGCTCGGAAGTTGAGCGCTCACTGTTCAAATCAGCTATCAAAGTTTTGCGAAAGTTCGAACTCACTTCAGCAAAAAAGTAAAAGACTCAGTTTTGAATCTGTTTTGAAAAGTGTCACCTCAGTTAGAAATTTCCTGAATTGTTTCTGATTTGGTCTCACTTCTATAAAATTTAAACCAATTTTGAAAAGATTGGATTTAGCTCGGAAATGGTTGAATCACTGTAGAAAAGAATTGAATAATTTAGTATCATTGCAGCAGGTTTGTAAGTTAAGAAACTTAGATCGAATACAAAAATTTGATTGAAGACGGTTGCCAAAAAAGATTAGGAATGAGTTCGAAAAAATCCGTTTTCACCAACTGAAACCGGCTGATTCGATTTCAAGGACCTGGCATGCCGTACCGTTCTAGTTCAAATTTATGTAAAAATTCTGTAAAAGAACAAGGTGATATTCTACAACATAATAAGGTCTAGCAAAGCAAGTATCCATACCCAAATTAAATAGCAATACTCGAAAAATAAATATGCACTGAAAGTTTTTTTTTTTATTTCCCCCTTTCCAATATTTTGAAGGGAGTGGTGACAAAAGAAAAACTTGAGATTCGTTTCGGCCAAATTGGCAAAAAATCAGCCGGGTCCAGAGATGTTACTTTTATTATTTTCAGGAATGATCAGAGAACTTCAGAGCAATTATGGGAAATTCAAAAAAAATCAGGGCTATTGCGGGGTCTTCCAGGAAGTTGCATGAATATCAGGAACGTTAGAGAAGTTCCACGAAAATATTGAAAATTAAGGGAACATTACCATGGAGCCAGGACTGTCATCTGATCACTCAATGCGCGCAATGTACTGATTTTCTGAAATATACAAAGTGAGAATCAAGCAAACACAGAGTTTGCTTGTTTTTCACCCTACGCAAGTGTAAAGCAGCGGAGAAGAGAAGGCAGACACACATCCAGCTCAATGTGTAGCTATCGCTCCGACGGATCCGACGCAAAGAGCGCCAGTCAGTGTAGGGTTACAAATGGGAAACACAGCTAAAATACAAAACTCTTCTTTGTTATGCCCTTCTACATCTCTCCTATGCATGCAGTCGTGGTAAGCAAAGTCTTCAAAGAATTCAAAGAAGACATTAGCGCTTGTTGTATTACATTCGCTCCCTGCGCCGCACGGAGTGTACCGCTCATTGTGTGGACCGCCTTCTCACAGATTAATTGGTAAAGAGTGTGCGAAGTAAATGGGAGAACCACAAAGTTGCTATGCTAACGCTCTGAGGTGCTTTCCAGCCCTGCATGGAGCATTTCCAGGTGAAATCTGGCACGACTCTTTCCGATCTGAATGGAATTTTCAACATGTTTTCAGTATGGGAGATTGTGATGTTTCCACCGATCACGAGACCATTTTGACTCAAGAGTATTTTTTTAAAAGGGCGAATGTGTTTTTTTACATGTGAATTTTCAAAATATTCTAACTCTAAAACAGTTTATTTTGTCCAAATTGTGTGTAAGAAGAAGTTGTAGACAATTGATTGGACTTAAATACACACTGATTTTTTTTTCAATTTTTGAAAAAAAAAGTTGAAAATTAAAATGTGAAATTCTCTTCATTACGATTTTTCTTAAGATTACCTTATGTCATAAGACAATTTATAAGGTTAATTTAAGATGGAGTGATTTCAGACCAAAAAGTTCCTGCAAGAAAACTTCTTGAATTTTCCATATATGATAAATTATAATGAATAAGAATTGAATATGATTTTTCAGGTTATAACAAATCAAACTGATACCGGTGACCAACACCCTAAACGTAGCCGTTTTTGAGATATTGTAAAAATAATGTTTAGAAAATTTGTGTTTTCTCTAAATAGTGTCTCGTTTTTCTCCATCATACCAGCCTTCTTCAGATCTTGCGAATAGATGACCATCGGAATAGCAACCGACAGCAAACCACTGAAACTGTTAGTTAAGGGGATAAGCTGGTTTCCGATCCATAGCAGCGATTTTTTCGGTGAAAGAATCAACTCTTCGGAAATTTCATTCAAGCCGAGGGGTGTGACACATCTAAATCTCGATTTTAAATGGTCGAAAAATCTTACACTACTCGCATCGCTCTCCACCTTTTTTCCGGAAATCTTCAAAATCATAATCAATCGTGTTTCTATCTATTAAGCGTGAGTGCATCTCACAACAGCAAAACAAAAAAATTCCTGCATCTTAGATAGAGTCACCCCTCTCGATTCAAGCGTACATCCCTGCATCGTTGGATGGTGCACTTCTGTAACCATCCGGAAGAAATGGATCTTTTTCGTGAACGATTGCGCTTCCAGCTGTTCGAAATGCGAAATGTAAAACAGTATCGCAAACTATCTGAGTAACTGCTCCCAATCCATCGGGGAAAAACCGCCTGGAAGAATTCTGGATCCCACAGCGCAACTAGCGAAAGATAAACAAACTTTGACGTTTAACTTTTTGCAGGCTACTTTGCCTCCATAAATGCTGCCATAAATCTGAAAGGTTAGGATCACGCAAAATGGCTTTGGATAAATACAATTCAGCCTTCAATTTTTCTTCATAAAAGCCATTTTAAAACCTTGTGAATTTGTTAAGGATTTCTTGAAAGCAAAACAACTTTTTCACAAATGACCCATGAAAATCAACTTTTTTGCCACCTGGCACGACTCTTTCCGTATGTGTTTTCACATATGAATTTTTCATAAAATTCTATCCCTAAAACAGTTTATTGTGTTCAAATTGTGTCTGAGAAGAAGTTTGTAGAGAATTGATTGGACTTAAAGGAAACAAATATACACTGAAAAAAATGTCAAACTTTTTAATTAAAAATTAAAATTTAAAATGCTTCAGAGAGAGCTTCATTATGATTTTGGTTGTATTTTTTATTTTGTTTTTCTGCGATGACCTTATGTCAAAAGACAATTTATAAGGGTAATTCAAGATAGAGTGATTTCAGATCAAAAAGTTACCGCAAGAAAAACTTCATTAACTTTTTCATATTTGATAAATTAGAATGCATAAGAATATTACCGTAATTGAATATGATTTTCAGGTTACAACAAATCAAAATGATCTCGGTGACCAACACCCTAAACATAGCCGTTATTGAGATATTGTGAAAAAAAAATGTTTAGAAAATTGATATTTTCTCTAAGCCCTTTTCATAAGTTTCTCGGTTTTCTCCATCTACAGCCGGACAATGTTGAAGATATGCATAAAATTCCCTAAATTATTGTACAGCTGTAGATGGCAAAACACTTATGAACAAGACTTATTTTCAAAAAAAAATACAAATTTTCTAAACAATATTGGTTGATTTCGATCATTTTGATTTGCTATGAACTAATATTGAAATATTCTTATTCATTCGAATTCATCAAATTTGAAAAATCAATAAAAAGTTTTTTCCTTCAGAAACTTTTTTTATTTGAAATAGCACATTTTGTATTTTGATTATTATTTTTTTTTTTTTCAATAATTTAACAATGTTTTTTCAATGTGTATTTGTTTCCTTTAAAGTCCAATCAATTCTCTACAACTTCTTCTTATACACAATTTTGATGCAATAAACTGTTCTAGGGTTGGATTTTTTTCGATAAATTCATATGTGAAAACACTTACGCCCTTATCAAAAATTAGTCATAAGTCAAAATGGTCTCGTGATCTGTGGAAAAATCATTATCTCCCATACTGTAGACATGTTGAAAGTTTCTTAAAAATCGAAGGGGTTCGTGCCAAATCGTTTGCTCATTTGACATAGAATTTATCTATGGAGGAACGTAATCTTAAGGCAAGTCCAGGGTAAATTTTGAAATTATAAGGGAGGTTCCATGATTTTCAAGGAAGTTTAGTAAACTTTATGAACATTGCAGGAACTTCAGGGCAGTTCCATTAACTTTAGGAACATTGCAGGAACTTTTGAAAGCTCAGGAAAATTCAGGGAAGGTTTTGAGAACTTAACTGAAGTTCAGACATCCTTAGAACAGCTCCAATAACTTCAGAGATGCACCGTTGACTTCTGAAAAGTGTAGACCTTTAAAGACCTTGACTTTTAAAGATCTTGAAAGATTCATTTTTTTCGGGGTTTTCAGTCTTCAAGACAAATAGCTGATAACAGTTTTATCATTGCCAACATTTCGATCTACGGGTTGGGAACTTCATCAGGGCTAGTTTTAGTTTTAGATCGTGAAGCTTTTTGCAAGAACTCAGTCTGTGTTTGAATTGCCGAGGGCAAACTTACTCTGAACTTTTGGAATATTTTCTTCTTATAAATATTATTAATGCTTGAAATCATTGTGGAAATGCTGATTTCTTCGCTCATTGCTCCGCTCATTCAGTCAGACAATCGTTAATCTTTAATTTAATGACGAAGGATACACCTTAATCATTTTGAATGGCCATCCAGCTCCGTGGCATGTTGGTACAAACAAAAGTCGCATGGATCCAAAATAGTGATACGATAATAACCTTTCCAAACACCCCCATATCTACAAGTCCCAAAACAAAATCCACACAACCCAGATTAAGCCAGATCGACAAGCAATGAAACGAGATATCTCTCTCTCTCCGTACCCATGTTTCACCAGCCATAAAAACGACAAAACAGCAATTAAGACTAATCCCCCATTCAAATCCTGAAAATTCCCCATTTCAATCCCCTCGACACTCACCTCTCCATCAGCAGCCCCAGCCGCCGGTGCCACGCCGGTGTCCTCGTTGTCCAGAAAATCCTCCACCTGGGGCAGTTGTTCCTTCTCCTGCTGCTGTTGGACTTCCCGCTCGTGAACCAGTGTTGCCAGCATGGGATAGGTGTTGGCTGCCTCCAGACTGCGATAGGAACCCTGCGCCTCCGCCACTCCCCCGTTCATTAGCACAATGTGCTCGACGTCCTTCAGATACTGGAGCTGGTGCGTTACCAGCACGCAAACTTTGTCCTGTTGGAGTGGTGTTGGGCAGAAGAACAAAAAAATCATATTTAAGCCCAGAACGAACACTCTGCTAAATGAATGCACGTGCTACACACACACAGCACAAGTTTTAATTGAATGAAAGCGGTGGAGCCGCCTCCCTGTGCTGCGTTTTCTTTTACAGCACCGATAAAACATTACTTAATTAAATCTTGCATAGGAATACAATTAACCGCTAACAACCGGCCGCGGCGGGTTGAAAGTTGTTATTAAATATCAATTTTTAATTTGAAACCCGGTACTCACTTTTAAGTACTCCGTTATGCACTGTTCGAATATGTGTTTTCCCACGTGGGTATCGACGGCGGAGAGTGGATCGTCCAGCAGGTAGATTTCGGCCTTCCTGTAGACTGCCCGAGCCAAGCTGATTCTTGCCCTCTGACCGCCGCTCAAGCTGATGCCTCGCTCGCCGACGATGGTTTCGTCCCCGAGCGGAAGTAGCTGGAAATCCCGTTCCAGGGCACAGACCTTCACCACCTCCCGGTAGCGCTTCTCGTTATAGTCCGCGACAAAGACGATGTTGTTCTTGACGGATCCTTCGAAAAGCCACGGCTCCTGGGAAGCATAGCTGAGGTCTCCGCTTATCTCCAGTCGGCCCTCGTCCAGCTCCAGCTCGCCAAGGATCACCTGCAGCAGTGTCGATTTGCCACTTCCAACTGGTCCAACTACGGCGCATAGTTCGCCTTTTTCCACCGTGAGGGTCATGCCCTGGATTCCTACCACTGAAAAATTAGAAATTGATTTTAGAATGTTGGATGCTCATTTTGACCGGAAAGCATAAACGACTTAAACGACTCAAGGTCATAATTTTAATGTAGTCTTCGTGACCAGATCATGGGCTAAAGAACTATGACAAAACCAAAATAGTTACTTTGGATGCAATCTAAATTGGTGTAAATTGAAATCCTATTTCGATCAAAAACTACAGTTTCGGACTTATTTCCTTGATTTGAACGGCAAAGGAAGGCGTGATCAGAGATTTTATGTCTCAGAAAATCCAGACGGCGCCGACTGGGATTGAACCCAGGCCCAAAAGTATTATCGTTTTCGTGGCTTTTTTATACGTTTGAAGCCAATTTACCGTGGCCGCCTAAAACCTATTTTTGGGCAAAAATCAAAAAATTTGATCACAACATAAATAACCGAAAATGACCCCCTATTTTTTTTTTTTTTTTAATATTCTTAATAAAAAAAAACTTATTAAAAATACTCCCAGTTGGAAACTTAAAAAATAATAACTTTTGGACAATTTTTCGATAAAATTTTACATCGATTTTTTAAAATATTCAGCAAAGTTTTCTGTGCAAACAATTACAGAAAAATTGCACAACAAAAACTTTAAAAAATAGTTTTAAAAGTTTAAAAAATGTGTGTTTTTTGTGATATTTAAGCGACCAGCTTGAACATTTCTCAGAAAATAAAACATTCCATAAGACTTTTTTCGTATATTAAAAAAAAAAATATTGAAGAGGATCATTTTTACTGCAGAAGTTTTCCACACTTTTTTGATTTTTTACTCAAAATAACTCGATTTTTTTTACCGTGTATATTTTTTTCCAGAAAATAAATTGCTTTGTCAATGTTGTCCTGGACACCATTTTGATTGAAAGTGACTTGTTGAATAATATCAAATACACGATTGAGCGGTTAGTTCCTCGCCAAATGACGAACCGATATGACACGACCTTTTCACGTTTGCCATTTTAAATTTTGGATTTTTTTTTTCAAAATGTCGTAGGAGAAATGGCTCTTATGTTGGCCTATGGATCTAAGATTGTGCCCATCGCTAAAAATCAGCTATTTATCAATTTTATCTAGATGAACGCGTCATTAGGACAGTACTAATGGATATTATTGTTCGCTTTTGAAAATTTAGTCGATTGCTGAATTCATGTATAGGCCCAAATTAGGGGCATTTAAGCCGACATTACATCCATTTCCCCTATTTGATTTTTTTTTAATAAATCGTAGCACAGAATCCTCAGTCCTAGTCGAAATGGTGTCTGAAATAAAGTTGTAGAGAAAAATAAAATTCGTTCCAGGAAAAATATACACCATAAATTATGTTTTGTAATTTCGAGTAGAACATTAAAAAGTGTTAAAAACTTAAACATCAAAAAACAGACTTTGTTCAATATTTTTGATTTATTTCTAATAAAAGCTTGTGAAAAATATAAACTTTTAAAATATTGAAAACCTTGAAAAAAAAACCTTTAAAACTTTAACCACTTTTCATAAAAATGTTTAACTTGTTTTTGCTCAATAATTTTGTAATTTTTGAAAAGAAAACGATTTAAATCGTCTTAACCATGTGCAAAAATTTCAACAAAAAACGTCCTAAGAAAAATTTAAAACAAATACGAAAAGTTTTTGTTATACAGTTTTTGTCAATTTTCAAGTCTTCAAGGTTTTCAGTAAACCAAAGGTTTGCATTTTCCAAAAGCTTTTTAAATAAAAAAAACCAAAAATATTGGACAAGACATTTTTTGTTGTATAAATGTTTAACTCTTTCTCAAAATTATTCTCAGACGTAATTGCGATAACACTTTAAACATTTTCGAGCTACGATTTATTAAAAAATTTCGAAAACAAAACTTAGATAAAGAATTTAAAACTAAATATGGTTGAACTTTTGCCCAAATGTGAATGATTGCAACTAACAAACAATTCTTGATTGAGCTGGAATTAGGGCGTAACAGCTTTTGTAAACAATGACTTCTCTCGATGATTTCTCGAAACTCAAGACACGCCCACGCAAACCAACATAACCAACGAGAAGGGGAAGTCTTCCGCTACCCGATGGTGACGTTGATTTGAGTGGACGAGCCTTGGTTTCAGTGTTGGAAAAATATCAAAAAATCAAATCTCTCCAAAGCACAATATCACGCTTGATTTTCGTAGCTAAAAATCAACAAGCAAACAACTGCGGTTCATGTCGTAAGCTCAGAATATCAAGCTAACAAAACTCACCAACTGCAAATCTCACCAAACTGTGGTGAGATTGAGTTTCATGATTTTCGCTTTACACCCGAACGCAACCAAAACTCCCGTTATGCTGACAGCAGTCATTTCATGTCTGCCATCGCCATCGGTGAAGAGAAAAAAGAGATAGCATTATTATACCTTCTCTTTCTAAGAAAACGAGCTGCAACAGAATCATGTTTGCGTCGATTAAACTCTCAGCTTTAACTTTACACGTTGTGAATAGTCTCGCAAAATCAAAGGAGCTTGTAAAATCAAGCGTGATATTTGAGAGCGTATGAGAGCGGGAGAATACCAATTTGCTTGTAATCATGCCATGACTGCTTGGCTTTCTAGAAATCATCGAGAGAAGTCAATGTTTACAAAAGCTGTTACGCCCTAATTCCAGCTCTATCTAGAATTAAACAAAATGCCATGCAAATCGGAGAAGGTTGAGCTGGATTGATTCGTCATTTGGAGTGGAACTACTTATATCCTATTTCCAAACTCCAATTTTCATTATCCTTAATTTCCAACTTCCATTTTCGATGATCCATTTTATATTTTACAATTTAGTTTTTGTTTGTCTTGTCCCCCCGTCTCGATGAGTCTCATCGTCGCCCACTGGTCACCCACCATAGCCGGTCGAACTCCGGACGAAGCTAGAACAGCACTACCGTTCATACTGGCGACAACGCTCTGATGAGACAACGAAACCCTACCCCAAGCTCCTCCCCTGATCCTATCCTTCGAAAATGTACCCTTCTAACCTCTAGTAAGCCGCGAGTAAGCGGCCCAACTCCTACTAAGCTACGTAAAGCTAACGCGATTGAGCCTTCCAAGAGATGAACTAGCCTCAGGCTAAAAATCTCTATAATAAAAAAAAAAAAAAAAAAAAAAAAAGATTGAGCCTTCCAAATAAACGAACTAGATAAAAAAAAAAATATTTTACAATTTCCATCAACCATTGCCATTTCCATTTTCATTATGCATTTTCCATTATCAAATTTTTAGTTTCCTTTTCAATTTTCCATTTTCCAATTTCCATTTTCTCTTTTCTATTTTTATTTTCCATTTTCTACTATTCGTTTTCCATTATCCATTATCCATTTTCCAATATCCTAGTTCCATTTTCCATTTTTAGTTTACATTATCGATTTTCCATTAAACATTTTCCAATTTACAATTTCCTTTTCTATTTTCCCTTATCCAAATTATAAATTCCTTTTTTAAGTTTTTCTATTTCTATTTTTTATTTTTATTTATCCATTCTCCATTTTCTATTTCCCATTTTCCAATATCTATTTTCCCATTAACTTTTCCCATTTTTCATGATCCGTTTCAATTTCCAATATCAATTCCCATGTTCCATTACGAAAACTCCATTTTCCATTTTCCAATTTTTATTTTTTATTTTCCAACATCGATTTTCCAGTTTTGAATTTCCAATATCCATGTTCCATTTTCTATTATCCATTATCTATTTTTCAGTGTCCAATTTCCATTTTTTTTTTTCAATTTTTTTTATTTAACATTTACCATTTTCCATTATCGAGTTTTACAGTCTCCAACTTCCGTTTTTTAACTATCCATTATCGATTTTCAATTATTCATTTTCTACTTTACAATTTCGATTGTCCATTATCCGTTTTCCAATCTCCAATTTATAATTTCCTTGTCCGTTTTCCATTTCCAACTATAATTTCCATTTTACATTTTTTAATTTACATTTTCCAACGTTCTTTTTCCATTCTCCATTTTCTATTTTATATAATCCATTTTCAAATTTGCATTTTGCTATTTCCATGATCCATTTTCCATTACCCATTTTTTCATCTTCAGATTTCCAATTTCCTTGCTCCAGTTTTTCATTTTCCATTTTCCATTCTGTGTTTTGCATTTTCCAATTTCCAATTTCCATTTTCCATGATCTATTTTCCAATTTCCAACTTCAAATATACAATTTCCAGCTTCCAAGTTCCAATTTCCAATTTCCAAATCCCAATTTCCTAATACTGGTTTTCTGAAAATCTGGTTCTCTGATTTCTACAACTTTTCTTGTCTGATAATCTGATTATCTGGTTTTCCAATTTTATGATTGTTTGATGTTACATTTACTGATTTTTTTTTATTTTCAGATTGTTGAATTTTCTTATTGCTAATTTACTGATTTCCTAACTTCCTGATTTTCTGATTTTATGGACTCCAATTTCTATTTTCCAATTTCTTAGTTTTCATTTTCCAACATCTTTTTTCACTTTCCAATTTCCATATTCCATTTTCTATTACCCATTATCTATTTTTCCAGTCTCAAATTTCCAGTTTTTATTTTTCCGTCATCGTTCCGATGGGAACATTATCCATTTTCCAATTTCCGTTCTACATTTCCAAATTGTTATTTCCATTTTTCAATTTCCATTTTCCATTGTTCTTTTTCCTTTCTCCATTTTCTATTTTATATTATTCATTTTCCAATTTCCATTTTACATTCATTTCTATTTTCCAATCATTTCCGTGTTGTATTTTTTATTTTCTATATTCCATTTTAATTCTTCATTTTCCATTCTCTATTTAAAATTTTCCAATTTCCATTTTCCTTTTTCCATGATCCATTTTTCAATTTCCAATTTCCAATTTACAATATACAGCTTTCAAATTACAATTTCCAAATGCTGATTTTTTGATATTGCCGTTTCAGGGAAAATAATTCGACGCAACTGACAGCTACAGCATGCTATTAAAGCTGATAATCTGACGCCAA